GCCCTCCCCTCGCCCCCCCCCCCTATCAGCCCACCGAAAGAATAACGTTGTCACCACGAAATGATCGTAATGGATGTGTGAGGTGGACTCGAATCTAGCTAAATTGCTTGATTGCAAACAGTTGTAAATTGGGAACGGATTATCATGTTTCAATACATTACGGCAGTGCGGAAAGAAATCAACCAGGAAGGAAACATGTGAATCGTGAACTGGAAAAATCAGACACACACACACACACACAGACGCACACACTCACTCGGGCTTCTCGAAAATGCAGTGCAACAATGGAGTAGTACTGTTCTTGGCCAGCTGTATCCCTGAAATTAAAAGGAAATAACTGAAACCGTAAACGGCTGTACAACATGCAATAAACTGGCTAATCCTCAGAACGATTANNTTTATATCGAACAGATGAAAACAAAATTGGTATGAGCTTTTAGGATGGAGGTGGGGAAATGGTGGTAGTAATGTTGAGCCAAACTGAGGCACTAAATCACCGTGTCTTTGGAGCCGCAGTGGTCAGGTGTTTAAGGTTATCAAGATATCAACCTCGAGGTTCCGTGTTCGAACCACACACACACACCCCACCCCGACTCATTTTGTGAATTTCTGTGTGTTCCCCGAGTAGCCTTCGTATGACCACGGCTCCTTTCCGAAAGTTGACTATACATTTGTATGCTAAATAAACAAAAAAAAGATGTAAACATTTATTAATTGATTAGTATTATTATTGATAAGCATACGAGCCATTGACTGGATTTGTATACCGGATTGAGAAATAAGAACCCTCTTCTAAATTGTAACAAAAATGGGCTTGTTTTGAAAGATTGAAATTGAGATTGGGTCAAGTCAGCTTACTTCTTAAGGTGAGGTGTCGGCAGGATAAAAGATTTAGAATCTATGAGAAATAGTAGTCTAACTTGACGACGACTATCCAGCTTATCCAGCCTAATGGAACGTTGCAAGTTCAGTAAACCATCTGTTCCGCCGTCAATAGTACGAAACCGGAATGTTCACGGTCAATTTCTGTTCGCAGTGGAAAATAATTATTTAACAATATAATATTAGTTGTCACATTACATATGATTGACAGGTGATTATTTTCCTGTCTTTATCAATGGAGTTATTTTGGTCTCATAATCAGGCCTGGATTGGCCGATCCGTTAAATGAACACCACGCAGTTTTGCTGAAGCGAGGATCAATAAAGGCCAAGTGCTGAATTCGTTCCATCCAAACACAATGATCTATTTCGAAAGTGTCAAAGCTCGAGAATTGATCTCATCGAAGGCGATATAAATTCTATTGAACAGCCCCCAGTTTCTCTCTCAAGGTATTAAAAGTAGTTGACCGAGGCCCCTATCCTTCGTTCTCTCATAGCCAAATGCCCAAATCGGCCTCTTCTCAACCTAACAGAACTTTTAAAACCACGCCCCGCATATCACGGATACCACTTATGTGACCAATAATTGAATATTCAAAATCCAACTCCCCGATCCGTCCCCCCTAACGTTTGACTTACAATAACGATCCGCCGTTTCTATCAACGTGAATTTAAAAAATGCGCCGTGTTTATGCGGTAGATGAATTCCAGTTCGTTCTCCAAACTATTGATTTTTCCAATAAACATAAATGAACAAATACGAAAAAGTTGCTGAAACCGACCAGACTTCAAAACGTTAGAACTCTAGCCCATCCCATCCAGTCAAACAACATATCAAAGTTCCATAATATACTCCAAGCACGGATGTGTACTTGCCAGAGGGGAATGATGTGGAGTGAGAAACAGATTGCTAATTTGCTACAGATTAAATCTGAGATCGCTGGAAAGTCAAGGCTGTTTCGCAATCAGACGGTCAATAACTCTAATTACAAAATTTATTAGAATTTACACACACCAGACAATCTTAAACCAACAGGAATTGTCTACATCGAACCACCAACCTTCCACGTAAAAATCCATTTGCGACCATCACTTGCATGCTAAATGTGTACCGCATCCGATATCACAGCAAAAGTTGACAAAAAATCTGTCATAAACAAGGGTTTAAGTACCCGATCGACGTGGTCTGACCGTGGTCTAGCCGTTGATTTCACTTGAGGTTAGCAATATGATTGAAGATTTATCACACAAACCAGTTTGTCGCGAATTCACGAAAATTCATCCGCGTTCATTCCAATTTCCGTTGATTGCGATTACTAGCTGGAGGATTCCCACTTTTCGTCGTGATTTGAGTGCAGGAAACAGACTTGTTCACAACTGGGTTGTGAGATGTGTCTGACGCGAACGACCATTCTGAATTTCCTGCATTGCTGTTACAACCTACCTGTCCGTTTGCCTACTAATTCCGTCAAGCCTGACTAGCTGCGTACCGCAGATCACGTGTTCAATCGCTCAAACTTAACGACCTTGACAGCGGTACGAACACAGGAAATCAGAGTACCATAAAATTGCAATTCAGACTGCACTTTTCCCGGACGACATTTATAACTTTCGACATTTATAACTCAATTTCATGTGCTCTGCTCTAACAAAAAACGGCTCTGTTTGTGTTACTTGACCACTACAGATAAGGAATGGTCGAAAAACAGTGAGTGATCCGCTGCATCAAAAACGTTCAACATAACACTATTTTCGTTCATCTCGAAGAATAGGTGACCAGTAATTGCAAATCGACTGTGAATTTGTAGTCGCAAAAATCATACGCACTGACTTTACATCGTAAAACAAAACCGGTAGGTACTACGCCTTTGAGTGGAACCATGTGGCACAAATTGAAAAAAATATATTCCAATTTCCATATGGTCTCGTGACAATCCATTCAATGTCAAGAGTGTGCATGTGATGCACAAAGGTCGCCGTGTATCACTGTATCATGCATGGTTTGAGACAATACTACGCCAAGATAAAAGTTGATGAACCAATTTGCATTAATTACACCTTCCTCGACAAAAACTAGGCCTGACTAAAAATATTATTCGTCAGTTGCAAATTCAAACGATCATAAAGAGCGGGCTTGTCAGCTTTGCATCACTTTGTGCTATAAACAAAAACCTTAGTGCACACAGTGTGTTCGATCAACAGTCGTTTGAGAGCCTATTCAAACGCAGAGGTTTTTCCGCTGCAAGAGGCTGATCCATTCTGCCATTGTCATTGTCATGTGTTAAAAATGAGTTTTGGTTTTATGGCACTGCTGTACTCGAACCCTGCTCGTTCGGTAGGTAGTTTTTCCAGCCCAACTCATGGGACTGATCACAGTGGAGGTGCCCGCGTGGTATCAATAATCCTGGTCGTGAGGTGCAATGCCCTGGATACTCAACATGAAGATTTTAGGA